AAACCATTTCAGGTGACTACCTCTTGAAGCTCATGGAGAGAATGCCAAGAGTGTGCAAAGCAGTAATCAGAGCAAAGGGTGGCTATTTTGAAGAAACTAGAATATAAAACATGTTTTCAGTTATTTCACCTTTTTTTGTTAAGTACATAACTCCACATGTGTTCATTCATAGTTTTGATGCCTTCAGTGAGAATCTACAATGTAAATAGTCATGAAAATAAAGAAAACGCATTGAATGAGAAGGTGTGTCCAAACTTTTGGCCTGTACTGTATATAGATCCCAGGGTACATTTTTTGTAATTGGGAGCTGTTTAAATGTGTAATTTGTGGTAGATTTTATTTTGTTGAACTATTAATATTGTATACAGAATCTGAATCTCACTCTGAGTTACTGTTGTTGCTTACTGAATATTGTGAGACACTTAAACAGCAAAACTAAAAACGGTTATAAACTTGACAGAGGAAAGACGTATTTAATGAAGTTACATTGCTCCTTGTGTGTAACTGTGCAAAGCCTATCTCTTAATGGGGAGTTGGACAGCAGCTCTGCTCTCTGCTTTGTTCATATTTTGCAGAATATCATTAATATTTCCCTCATTATTGAGGTATCATTTCACTCACAACCTATCTAGGCGTCCCTTTGAGTGTAACAAGCAGGGTGTACGTGCGTTGTGAACCGGCCTATGTAGGCACATACTGTTTGAATAGTGTGGCCCTTAAACAGCAGCAAAATACTGTACCATTCTGACTTTAGACCAGGTTTTTGTTGGTCAATGTAGCGATCACTTTTCTGCTGCCTCAAAACCGCAATCCCCACCAAAGTGTCTCACTGCACCACATTGTAAGACCCTCACCACTGAAAGACGTTTGCACAGTTACTCTAAGTATAAACACATCATTGTCTCATATATCATATTTCTGATTTGGATATTTTTAAGCACTAACCCGCTGTAGATAACAACATTAGGATTGCTGCGACAGACCTGACTGTGTCATCATACCGTGCAGGGGGTTCTGGCGGTGAAGATCTGCAGGTATCTCAGGGCAGCTGCCATGAGGCACACAGCTGTGGTCAGAGCGTTCAGAGCACACAGTGCAAACAAGACTTTCTAGGAGAGAAACAGAAACAATCTGATCGTTCAAATAGAGCAGACAGAACTATTTAATCTATTATCCACATTCAAAACAGTCCAAGAGCTCCATATTTACAAGCTGCAAACAATAGTGCTGTACAAGAAATTGAAGAATGGCTCTTTGTTATTTTGGTAGAAATGAATGAGAGTTTTATCCAATCAGGCAGGAGAGGTGGTGTTTTTGCTGAAGGTTGGATCTTAGACATTACAATAAGTATAGCCATTTTGAAAGTCTGCTCTGTGTCCAGTGCGACATCACTCAGCTGACCATAAATTCACATGTAGTCATTCTGCAAACAAGTAAAGGATGAATACATGGACGAAATGAGAAACAAATATTCAATAATGTAAAGACAGAATTATAACAAATACAATTGTGTCAAAACTATCAAAATTAAGTTTTGAACTAGTCTTTAAACATTTAGTCGAAGTAATGTGCGTATTTCCTGCATACACTAATAGAAACCCATATTATTCCTATGGTGTAATCCTCACTAAAGACACAGGTGTTCACTGCTACTACTCCTGATTAACTCATTCTCAGCTCATTACATATACATGAAGATGAGTGACTCTAACAGTATCTGTTGTCCAGATTTCTTTCAAGAAAGTGTGAGGATTATACAGTACATGTATACTGTATATGTAATACTTTATTGAAAGTGCATTCTCCTCAGGATGTATTTATCAGTCAGCTCACAGTGAATCCAGCTGTGACATATGTTTAGTTGGTGGACCTTGAGAAGGATCCTCATGGTGTTGCAGGAGTGGGCAGGGTGGAGCTCCAGCAGCTTCTCCTCAGGACATTTGGAGCTGGGGGAGAGGGAGCAGCAGTAACAAACATTGCCAGCCTCACTCTGAAACAACAAACAAAACACACACACACACGCACACACCGTTGATATAAATATGATTTACAACATTTACTGATTTATGACGTCCCATGAAGATCAAGATCTCCTCATCAGGAGAAGCTTCAAAATATTAAAATGTATGGAGTATACAAAGCAGTTAAATCAGTCAATACAACATGCACTAAGCTATGTAGTGACTGTCACAAGAATAGAAAAAACTTGCAGTGGATGTTTATGGTCCTCAGAGGCTGAATCTTAATTGTCCTGACCTTTAAAGGATAATACAACTTGGCTCTTACTGTAAACTCTCAGACAACTTTCATTAATGGCCACATGACCAGGGTGACCTGAATTTAGTTTTGGTACACCATTAAAAAAAAAAGTGCTCAGTGTCAGCTGCACAATATAAAGGCAAACAGAACATATTACACAGTAAATTATAATCATAATAATCCTGCATTTCTCACAACAACTTTGAAGACATTCCCTTGGGCTTTCACATTCACAAGATTAAGACAGACAATGTCACAGTGGCCTTGACGTATGACCACCAAAATGTCATTAGTTCATCAGTCAAAGGGGACATTTTTGCCAAATTTTGAGAAATTTGGTCAAGGTGTTCATGAGAAATCTCGCGCTCACGTGAATGACACAAATGTCCAAGAAGACATTCGTGCAAAACTTGAAAAAAACAATCCTCTCAGGTTTTCTTGAGGTATCGTTTTCACAAGAGTGAGACAGACAAGGTCACAGTGACTTTGACCACCAAAATTTAAGTTTCATCAGTTCAGTGGAGTTCATAATTGAGCTCTTCAATTGAAGAAATTCCCCTGAAGCCATTCTTCAGATATTGTGTTCATGAGAATAGGACAGATGGACAACATGAAAACATAATGCCTCTAACTACGACTATCGCTGGTGCTGAGGCATAAAAATAAAGGATGGATGGGTGGAGGATATGGAAATATATTTCATAATGATTATATGCCAATATTCATTCAATCTGATGGTTTGAAGGCTCAACAACTGCATTGCCAGTCAATATTAGGTCAGAAAATACAACATCTGTACAATTTACTTCTGTTACAAACCACGCCCACTCCTGGTCTCATATCCGAATAGAGATAATAAACAAACATGATAGAAAGTGTTCCTTGGTGAGCTTTAGAGGTGTCGATGGGTGTATTTTCAGCTTCCCACAGGCAGGCTCACTATTTACCCGTCTTCAGTCTGTATGCTGAGCTTGGCTAACCATGTCCTGACTCCAGACAAGGGATTAATATCCATCACTCTGTGGAAAGATTCAGCTACATTATGTAACATTAAGAGTCATTTTACAGGTCAATTTGCATCTACACTCCATTAACACTAATAATAATATTCATATGCTCCCAAAGTTATTTCTGCACAACCAATGAGTCATTGACATATCAGTTACTGAAGACAGTGTCTGTTTACATTTGACGCCAAATGAAGCTACATTGGAAGTACTGCACTGGATCTGTACCAGCATGAAAATAGTGCACATGCACACACACACACACACACCTCTATTTATAGAGGAGAGTGCAAAACACTGCATGACCCCTATCTATTCTTAAACCTCCACTGCCCTAACAGACAGAACAGATGGACAAAAAGAAAAATGAAAAACAGCTCGACAGGAAGGAGACAGAGGATAGGAGATGAGACCTGGTAGAGGGAGGAAGGAAAGCCAACACAACAGCAGGGAAGGTCAAAAGGTCACACAGTGGAGCTCTGGCCTGAGCAAGACTCATCACATTTCCTGCAGCCTGACCTGCAACATATCAATTTCCCTAGCCAAGGCCAAGAGTGAAGAACTGTGGAGCTACATAGTGCCTCCAATGACAAACTGCACACATAGTAATACACATATACAACACACTGTTTGTTCAACTAGAATAAATACACATTTACAAAAAATCAAATGAAGCCAAAATATAACCACAAAATTAATGAATGTTTTTAGCTGATTTGTTTGTTTTGTAATCCTTCCCAATAACTTTTTATTTTGTTCAAACAATATTTTATTTACAATATTATTTTTCCTGTTTTTGTTTTAAAGACCAAACAGCAGGAATTGTCAAACTAATGCAATCACTGTATGTTTGTCAAGTAGGGGAAGACAACTATGTGTATTCATTTAAATTTGCCTGGAAATCGCTGACTTCTATCACAGATGTATAATATGAACTAAATACTGGACTCAAAGATGGCGCCTAGTCATTCCAATGGAGTTGCTCGCCTGGCGCATACACCAAAGATGTTTTCAGCCTCTGCGTTTACTTCCGCAGTATGCAGCCCACAGAACATGCACAGCAGTGTTTCTCCTTCTGGCTCTGCCTGTGAGTTCCTGCTCGTCTCATAGACTTCACATTGTCAGAATGAAATGGATTTTTAAATTCCTTTTCTCAGCTTGAGGACAGTTTTACAAATAAAAACAACTCTATGGATCAATAATTCATAAAAGAAAGAGTCATAATTGACCTTATTTGCAGTTTATCATGTCCTGTTAACAGTTTTACAAACATCTCATCATAATGGTGGTCTATGAAGAAAGTGCTTTTTGGGCCATAGGGAATTTTTTTTAATGCAATATCCCAAGTGGCCACTGGACAAAAATGGAAACAGGGCTGAGTGGCTTTCTGAACGTCTGACTTCTACATAAAACTGACCATATTCTCAAGCTTCCTTCACCTACACTACTGAGAAGTTCCATAATAATCCAGATTCTTTCCATGAAACACAATAACCAAGTGAATCAGATTATTCTAAGCCTTGACACACTTCTGTTTTTTGTGAGTAAAATGGTCAACTTACAAACAAAAGTGGTGAAATACCATATTATATCAATACTGAAGTGAATGCAGCCAAACACACACTTAAAAGTCTAACAAAGGGAAGTCTGCACCAACTATTTGTTTCCATGAGAACCTACTTGGTTGATTTTTCTTTGTGATTATCAGTTTTTGGTTATGTACAAGTCTGTATTTAATGCGTGTTTTTTCCCCTCTACAATCTTCCTTGTGGCTGTAATAAATCCCATCTGTGCTGTGTTTATGCCTGGTTCTCAGTGGACAGTTTTCCCAGGAAAATTGCATGACCTTAATAAATCCAGAGTAATACTTAATCATGTGAACATGTCTCACAATTGTGTTTGTGCAATCCTCCCTTAAAGGTCCAGTGTGTAGGATTCAGGGCAGGGGTCAGCAACCATTCATATGAAAAGAGCCATTTTTGGACAAAAAGAGAAAAAACAAATCTGTCTGCAGCTGCAAAACATATTTGAACCTGATAATAAAAGAAACACAGCTGTTTAAGTCTACATTAACCTATCAACATTACTAAGAGGTCTAAATGAGCATTTGTTAGTATGTTTTACCACATAGTGGCTCTACACTGGGTTATTTATGATTATTTGGTACTTTAATGTTGCAGCATTGTTGATTAAATCAAACAAATCTGTCAACGCATCATTTAAGTCTCTATTTTCTTGTGACAAAGCTGCCCCGAACATCGCCAACCTCCAGGACGAGGGGGATGATGTGACGGAGCGGCTCTTTCATTGACTGTGGGCAGCGCGCACATACACACACTCACACACACACACACACACACACACACTTGGTAGTTCTGCATATATTTATTTATATTTATATCCATACATTCATACGATCCTTGTATCGTTTCCTTACAGAGTATGTTGCATATTCATCCTTGCTCTGTTAAATAGTCTGTTCTTGCGCCTTTGATGATCATGTGACGTATTATTACGTTTCGTTATTGTTAAGTTAACTTTTGTTGTGAATAATTTGTGAGGGTTAAAGGAGAACATTTATGAAAATAATGAATATTTTGCCTTATGTTTATTTTGAGTTTAGAAAGCTGTAAATTGTGTTTTTGGTTAGTCAATATGCTGATTGTGTTTTTTTTTATGTGAATAATATGCCTAGTGGGAGGGGCACCTGGTTTAAAGGAGGCTGCTTTGGCCCCGGATGAGTCAGTCTTGTTGTGGTTACAGAGGAGGTAACAACTGCTCGACCTCCAGACTGTGTGCTGGAACCTGTGTTTTTGAAAAGGCATTTTGAGTTACTGAAGAACTCTCTTTTTTGGACATTCTGACAATTTGTAAAGAGTATTTTTTTTTCATGTTTTTTTCACTTTTTGTAAATATCACTGTCTGCACTTTGGGAGGCCGGCATAATAAATAACGCCATCACAATATTTTTCCGACTATGCCTGTGTTTTCCCAGTTTTTGAGTTCTGAAATAGAACTCTGCGACATTTCCTGTGAGACTTTTTGTTTTTTGGATTTGAAATCCATAGCAAGCCTATCTGGGTAAACTGGAGACTAGACAACACTACTGAGGTTCATCAAAGTTTGGTGAAAAATCTTAATCTTTTTTGTCAAAGGGGCTAAAGAGACGCATGTAGCACCGAAACCTCAGGTTGTCTACCCCTGATTTAGAGTGATACATTAGCAGAAACTGTATAGAATATTAATAACTGTGCTTCCATGAGTGTATAATCACCTGAAACTAAGAATCACTGTTATTTTGTCATTTTAAAATGAGCTGTTTATATCTACGTACTGAGCAGGTCATGATACTTTTTGTCCTACTATGGCAAAGGCGTGACCTCATGTCCTCAAACGAGATGATGATAAAATCCCAATATCCTCAAGCAAGCACTTCCTAAGTAACAGCACCTTAGCTTTTTACTATAGCTAAAATTGGTCAAATTTGTATGTCATATCGAACTACAAATGTTAGTTAGCATTAATAAACAAGTTTCAACCATAAAATGTGATTCAGGTTGTGTACCTTGTCAACTTTCATGTTGGGATCGGCTGACTTGGCAGAGTTGACTACCATCTTGTTTTTACATGGATTAATTTATTGTGCTTTTGCAACCACTAGATGGCACAAAAAAAGTGTCCACGAACAAGGACAACAGCTCTATTTTTAGAAGAAAATAAGTATAAGGTGCAGCAAACTGAAAATGTAATGTCTTCATATAAGGATGCATGGTCTCAGGAGGTTAAAGACTTTTTATCCTGTTTCATAAACTTATTGGAACTCTGAAAATCCACCAGTGGCTGGCACATCTTGGTAGGTTCTAAATAGTTGGAGTTTATATTTCATTCATACATACATAGTGGAGACTGCTGAGATAAAAAAAAAAAAAACACCTTGTTAGGGTTAACAATTTCACGCTAACAAAAAACTTCACAGGTTACTACCTTTACTGTTAATGAATGGACTGCATTTAAAATAATCGTTTATGCTTTAATGATGTCAAGCTAATTTGCAGAAGACAGAAGAACAGCAAAGACTTCCTTGTCTTTCAGTGAAGGCTATGTGGGAAACATTATCATCAGGCAGCATCTTGCCTAAATCAACGAGATGCAGAGTAAGGCTGGACATGCTTTCACCATAGTAGGAAAGAAATATTGTGAGTAGGGTTGGGTCGGTTCACGGTAATACCAATTCGGTCCGGTACTCCGTCTTGGACCGGGTTTTATTTTTTGAGACTGACCGGACCGCATACTTGGGCAGAACGTACACGGAACGGACGCAGCGGAGATCCGCCCGGTAAAAGTGGACGTCCGCAAGCCCTGTGCACGCAAAGCACAACTGCGCGGACTCCGCTCCGAGCACCAGTGTCACACAAAAGACTGTTCGGCATGTATTTTTCACATCGCGGGGATTTTTCATGGAGCTAGGAGGTGCGAGTGCGCATGTGCCTCTACTGTAGCCTGGAGTTTGTTTAATAGTGACGGGGAGTCAATAATGGCGGACAATTTAGTCTCAACGAACTCAAGGAATGCGCCGCTATACTACGGCAATACTTTGGCTTTGAGCCAGACGAAGGAGGCAACCCTTGTTTCCACTGATTGAGTAAGCTGCAAAATTTATTTGTAAGGAATAAAAGAAAAAATGTGTTACTGTCACTCTGTTGTCCTAAGGTCGTTTTTTATTTTGAGTCAATTGCGCCCCCAAGTGGCGAAAATCCGGTATTACAGAATTGATTTTTTTGTTTTTTACAAAAACCGGACCTTTTTTTTTCTCATACCGACCCAACCCTAATTGTGAGTGGGTCCTCTTCCACGGAGTTCGCCATGTTGTTTCTAAAGTAGACTTGTTCCAATCACACACTGGCTCTGGATAAGGCCATTTGCGTTTTCACATTGGTCACCATAGCCAAGTTTCAGTTGGTTGCAATCTACAACCTCAACCCAGATGTCACAAGTCCCACACCTTTAAATACAGCTGCAAAAATTCTTATTCTTCTGTGAATCAAGAAAAGCAGAGCAGAGCCAGTAATGTGATTGGCTGCTGCCTCTGTTTGAATGAGATGAGAGCCAGTCAAATTGCTATTTCCATCCTGAATGATAAAAAGTTATTGACTCCTAAGTTACTGTACATCCTTTGCTCTAATTGCCATGTAACATCCTTCCCCAGTAAACTGGTTCAACATGGAATACATCAAATTAATCAGCATGATGTCATCTCTAATTGAATTTTCCATAGAAGGAATAGAGGGAAGCAGAGGCATCATGGAGAAAGGATACAGAAAATCTACAAATGATGAGACAGACACAAACAGGTAACATCCTCACCAATTGGCAGCTGGTCATACTGGAAACCAGCTGGGCTCCCTGGCAGCACAGGATGAATCCAGCCAGATTAAGGAGCACACACACCACAGACAGCAGGACAAACACATTGACCTGGAGATGGAGGGATGGGGGAGAATGGATGAAAAAGGAAGGGAAGATGGATTATTGTGGTTTGAACACCCTGTGGACATATTCTGTAAAGAGATTTTAAAAAACATGATGTAAATAAATGGTGAGGGACATCGACAAAACATTTACTGTATGTTGCAATGTAGCATGGGCCATATGCAAACACAAAGACAGAGGTGGGATGACATTAGATTAGAATATAGTTCAACAAAATATATACTATGGAGGATTTTCCTAAAAAAAAAAAAAAAACAATGTATAGACTCACACAAAAGTAATCCCTCTCAGTCATCACTTATGACCCACTACAAGTGTGTGTTGGTGTATTTATCTGCAGAGGCCAAGCTCTCTGCCTGTATATTCTTACTTGATTTGTATTTTGCTTTGGTAGGGACATTTTTTGGCAGTGGTATAGAAATCTCAGCCTATATTTGTGCACAGGTAAGGTTCTAACATTATAAAAAAGTAGCTAACAAGCAGCAGTAGCATGCATCCAGGAGGAAAGAATGAAAACCGCAGAAACAGTTATGAAAAAAAGGAACAAAGCTTGTTCCAAAACTAAAGTAAATCCAGGGTTGGCTTTCACTTTCAATGGCGAGCACTGAAGGAGAGGATGAAGAGTGATGCAGAGTTGGCCTGTTTTCTGTTGGACAAGTAAGTGAAGTGTTATGCTTAGTTAGCCAGCTGAAGTATTGGCATTTCCACCAAAACAAATGTAACATTCCCACAACATCACAGTAGATTGCAGTGTACACACACCTCTATGCCATTCCACGCGCTTGCATGGAGGGCCCAGGGTGGAGAGAGCACACCTCTCTGCCCTTCCATAAGCATATGAGGAAAGCCTGAGTTAGAGACAGCATACCATTCTGACCCTCCATATGCCTACATGGAAAGCCTAACACAGGGAGAACAGCAGCAAAGACCCCCTGAACAGCACAGAGCAAGCATCAATGACAAACACAAATGACACTGAGTAAGACACAACACAAAAGGAGGGGCTGGGGTGGAGGCAGGTTGCAAAGTGATTTGCAGAGAAAGCAGCACAACAGTAGGCAGGCCAAAGCAGTTTGTGATGTGAGCTGAGCAGTATTTAGTACCAAAAGGGAGAAGACCATACTTAAAGATACATCAGAAATGCTTGTGTTTCAATGTGTACATGGTAAAAAATACAAAAAAATGATGACATAAGCTTAGTGAGGCTCAGGGGCTGTGTGACAGTACAGTTAAAAAAGCGACCTTTAAGCAGCATTCACCTTTTCTTTGTTTAAATGCCAGTACAGCCCAATCCACAACACAGCTGCTGATATTAACCTGCATTCATGTTGATTCTGTCAGATAATGTTGCAGTTATAAAACAGCATTTTAACCTGCCCTGCAGTGTTAAAACCTTTGTTTGTTAAAATCTGCATTAGGGGTGTAATTAGTGGAAATTAGTGAAATTAGTGAAAACATCTATCCATATCGTCATCTTTAGCATAGACTTTTATTTTGAAAGTCTGTGTCACTGTCAAACAGCAGCAGACAGATGGCAAGCAGCCAAGAGAAAGACGATGATGGTAACATTATTTACTCTGGAATAAATTAGCAAAGTGGAAATATTTTGGATTTAGGAGAAAATACAGGACAACAGACAGAGCACATGGCGTATGTAAACAATGGTGTTACAAGAAAAAACACAGTGTTACGTTACCTGTCTGGACGAGCGCCTCACTCCGCTAACTTTCCACTACAGTTACATTAGCTGCTCTGTTTTAACAATGTTTTGCTGAAAAACTGTGCATGCAGGCTGAAATTCAACCGAGCTGTTCTGTCAGGAGATTATTTATGCAGTGATTTAAACCACCGGTGAGTAAGAAAAATAATAACACTGCATGTAATTTGTTAAACTGTGAGTAGAAGAAAAAGGTCCGCTAGCCGCTAGGCTAATTTATGCAGTGTAAACATGCTTAAGCTAATAATGTGCAATTAGCAGCAAAACAATTTTTTTGTCCATGAACCTTGACAGTTATTACTGAGCTGAATTTGAGACTTTTGTTGAATGATATTGTTGTAAATCTGTGTTTTATGGCTGTTTGGAGAAGTTTTCCTTCAGGGCTTTAAGCCAGATATTCCTGAAGTTTTATAAAAAAAAAAAGGATCATGGTTAAGGTTAAAATGAAAAGATTTCCTCCAGAAAGGTCTCTCTGACAGAAAGCCCTGAAGGCTAACTTATCCCATTTGCTGTTTTATTTGTGTTAGTGGAGTAGGTTTAAAGTGAACTTTACTGTAGTTATTATTTATGTCTTATTTATGTGTTTTATGGCCAAAAGTAAAAAAGAAAGGAGTTGTAGCGTCCTCTGTAACAGACTATCTTAAATGGGCATTTAATATCGCCTAATATCTATGGCAGACTGAATCGAAAATTGCATTGTGGCAGACTTTGTTATATGGGAAAATGTATGTCATATTGTTGTCCAAAGAATCAATATATTGTTATGAAACTGGTGATTTACACCCCTAATCTAACAAGATAAAGTTTTCAGCGCGTTCATCTGATTTCAGACTTTTTTTTTTTTTTGGCAGCAAAATGCATCTAGTGGACTGAAAAAGCAATTGATTATATTATTGTAGTAGGCTACCTAAAGTTTGAATTTGTCATATAAATAATTTTTATGATAAAAAATCTATACCTGGCACTGTGGGACGATATGATATTGCCAAACAAAATATTGCTATAGTATGCTGTATCAACC